GCCGGCGCGCCGACCCCGGGTGCGCTCGGACGGGCCTCCCGGGGCCAGGAGCCGTGCACTGCAGGGGCGACGAGTGGCTTCTGCGATGCCACAGCATGTCAGGCAGTGGCGAAGCGTCCTCCTCCTCATCCTCCTCCTCCTCCTCCTCCTCCTCCTTTCTCCTCTCCTCCTCCTCCCCTCCTCCTCCTCCTCCTCCTCCTACTCTCACTCTACTCCTCCATCCTCCTCCTTTCCTCCCTCCTCCTCATCCTCTCCCTCCGCCCCTCTCCTCCTTACTCCTCCTCTCCTCACTCCTCCCCCTCCTCCTCCTCCTCCTCCTCCCCCACCTCCACCTCCACCTCCATCTCCACCTCCTCCTCCTCCATGCCCTCACCGTAGTGGCGTCCATTTTGCGACGCTCTCCGCCTCTGGGGGGCCGTCTCATGGACAGAGGCAGGGGCCGAAGCGTCCTGGCTGGCCTTAAGGCCAACCAAATCTGTATCGTTTTAACCGACCCCCATCCCCATTATCCCATCCCCTTCGAGAGCCCCACACACATTACGAGGGTGCGCCGCTGGATCTCCCCAAGGGGGGGGGGTGGGACCCTCCCCTCCCCTTCCCCGATCCGTCGTCGGGATCTCCTCCCCCCTCTCCCCCCCTTCCCCGATCCGTCGTCGGGGACCCCCCCCCTCTCCCCCCCTTTCCCCGATCCGTCGTCGGGGAACCCTCCCCCCCCTCCCCTTTTCAAAGGGGGGGGGGTCCGACCCCCCCCGCTCTCCCCCTTTGGCCGCACCCCCCACCCCCCCTCCCCCCGTTTCGCCACGCCGCCCCCTGACTCCGGAACCTGACCCCCGCCACCCCTACCCCTAGTCCTCACCCCAACCCAAACCATAACCCCTAACCCTAACCCCAACCAGTAACCCCAGCCCCAAAGAGCATTCACTACTCATTACTCACGACCCACTACTGACTACTCGCTAGTCGCTACTCACTTCTCACTACCCCCTACTCACTACTCACGACTCACTTCTCACTATCCTTTGCTCACTACCCACCACCCACTACTCGCTACTCACTACTCCCTACTCACCACTCCCTCCTCCCTACGCACTCCTCACTCCTCACTACCCACTACTCAATACTCATTGGACCCCCTGTAGAGTCATCGAAAGTTTTGATGATTAACTACGTTTTGATTTCGTTTCGCAGCAGAGGCGTAACGAAGGCAGAGCGAAAGAGAACGAAATCAAAGCTAAGACGAGAAGCGCTGTTCAGCTCGGGCCCTGGTGGGCGGCGGCCGCAGGGTTTCCTCCTGAGCCGCTTCCTCACGAAGAAGCTGCTCCGCCTGGTGGGCTTCGAGACGACCTCCTGGGACTCCACGTGCCAGGAGCCGGTTCGGCGAGGGCGCGGCGAGGTCGGCGTTCAAGAGACGGGGGTCAATGCAAACTGGGGTCAGCCAGAGCGCCCGATCTTGCAGGATCTTGCAGGGCCAGGGTCGCATTGACCCGGGTTTGGGTGCAGGCTCGTTCGCACTGACCCGGGCTTGGGTGCAGGATCTTGCAGGATCTTGCAAGATCCTGCAAGACCTGATTGACCCGGATCTGGATTGACCTGGGCCAGAAGATCCCCGACGAGGGTCGCCGGGTGCGAGGATAACCAGCGTCGAGCTCAACCGTGTTCCCGTATCTTTACGTTCGGCATAAGTACGATCGTTGTGGGCACAGACGGGATGAGTACAAAGACCGCCGGCAGTTTCAATGTGTTTTGGATTCGTTCAGTTTCAATGTGTTTTGGATTCGTTCTCGCTGTCGCCACGGGCGTCCTCCACCTGAGAGGGGACATCGCTTGCCCGACAGCGGCTGCTGTTGGTGTTGGACAACATGTGTCGTCGGGCATCGTAAACATTTGTCCCATTCCAAATTCGCTCGGGCGACCAATGTATCCCCCATCTTTCAGGTTGACAGCCCAGTTATCTTCCTCCGTGCCTTTCTCCCTCCTTGTCCTCCTCCACCTTCTCGCCTTCTTGTGCATCCGTGAAGGACCTTATTCGTGTTACCCTGAATTCGGGTTGACCCAGAAGGGGATCCAGCGACAAGGGGGTGGTGCAGTAGAGTTGGTGCAATAGATTCGTGGGGTTGCAATACTGTTGGGGCGTGCAATCCATTCGGGGGCGCAAGTGTATTGCTGGATTTCCGCTTCCAGTACATTACTAGCAATACAATGCGATACAAGTCTCTGGCGCAATACATTTACAAAACAATTGCCCCAAATCTGATGCACCACCCCCTTTCAGCTGGACCCCCTTCTGGGTCACCCAAATTGACGGGGTACACTTGTGAGGGCGCGTGCGTGCACGCACTCTCGGGCCCTGCTCGTCGTCGGCTCTTCTTCCGCCGCACCTCTCGGAGCCATTCCTCGACCTCTTCAGGCTTGTGGGGGAAGGCGCGGTAAGTCAAGAAAGGAAGAACCAAAGCCTGGAGCGTTTACTAAACGGCCTTGGGCGTTTACCAAGCAGCCCTGCCCTGTTCGATTCCTTCAGTGGGGGCGTTTAGTAAACGGCTTCGCGTGTCGGGGTGATGGTGTTGGTCATTGTGGGAGTGGATGTTTGCCCTCTGGTAATTGAAGGGCGATGGATGGTGACGTTCCTGCTTTCGTATTCTCGAGGGTGCAAGCAAAAACAACACGGCGTCATTGCCAGGGCAACACACAGGAGTAATCAGATAAGCAGAAAGACAACAGGAAGCACTGGTCACGCCATCATGCACTTGTGCTGCGATGCATCTCGAAAAACGTTCAATCAATAAAGCATGATGACCGGCTCCCGGATTTGTTGGTTGAGTGTTCTGTGGTTAGAATTGGGACGTTGTTCTCGTCAATCAGACTTTGAGATCTGCAGAAGATGAGCAGTTCGGATTTGAACACGGCCACGTCTTCTTGGGAGCGGGGGCCATCAACCGAAGTGGAGTAGCGGTGTTTGTGCATGAGCTCGGTTACTGGCGTACCGTGGTTGTAGACGGGCGGCGATTGTACCTGTTTGTTGGACATTAAATTTGTACTTTCGTCATTCGGCATGTCCTGTGTGCATGCCGGATACTACGTATCCAGATGCAAATGTCGAGGCCGAGAACGCACAGTTCTGGCTTTCACGGCAGCAGGCGGCTTACCAGGGCCATATTTTCGCAATCGAACGCCCCAGAAAATGAAGCAACCCCCTTGAGGGGGTAGGGAAGAAGGAAGGAGGAGGAAGAAGCACGGAAAGAGGAATAGCAAGATGGAAGAAACAGGTTGGAAGAGGAAGAGGGACGAGAAGGAGGAGGAAGGAGACGGAGGAGGAGGAGGAGGTGGAGAAGAAGAAGAAGAAAAAGTAGCAGCGAACGAGGAGGAGCAGGGCGAGGAGGGATGAGTGAGGTGCGAGCAGGAGGGAGCTTGGCAGGGAGAGGAGGGGGAACAGGGGGCGACCTGGGCAGGGATGGGGGGAGGGGGGGCGAGACGGAGCTGGCGGGCGGCGGTGGCGGCTCACGGCCTGCCGACGTGCCGCTGGAACGTGGCCTTTGCAGGTCAGCACCGGCAGCCTGGGCGAGACGCGGGAGGGGGGGGGGAAAGAGGCCAAGGTCGGGGGAGCGTAAGACCCGGGTTTGCCAGGACTCGGGTTCGTTATCGTTTTTTTTACGACCGCGCCTCGGCTTTGGACGAGCAGGAGTTTCGTGGGACGTCTGCAGCGGGAGGCCTCGTCAAGACGCAGGCTCGGCCTCGTCATTTTTTTACGACCTCGTCGGGGATTTCCGAGTCCCCTGTACCCGGGTCTTACGCCCCCCTGACAAGGGGGTCCCGGACCCCCCTTCGCATCGTGAGCAAGCATCTCGGCGCGGGGACGTCACGGCAGGGGACGGTTTGCCAGGGTCGGCCGCGCGCGGAGGGGGTCAGGGGGATGGTGGGGAAGGTTTCTTAGATAGAGGCTGCTTCTGAGAAGGCGCTGGCCTTACATCAAGGGCATCAAAACACGCCCCTACCGTGGTTTACGAGGCGCTGTGCGCTGAAACTCCTGTGGGCTGACAGGGTAAACCCTGCGTGATGTGCCGCGTCCTGGCGGCTCTAGGCTTTGGGGGGTCCCAGGAGGTTTACACACCACGCACTTGTAATCCAGGGTAGGGTCGTTTTTTCATCCCTCAATTACACCTACAGACAAGGCCCGCGCCTTCTGAGAAGCAAGGGTGTTTTCAAGAAGCTTTCCCCCGCTCCCCCTGCCCCCCCTCTGCGCGCCGCCATTTGCCAGGCGATCGCAAGCATGGATCAAGGGGGCGTGGATGAGCGACGGGTCCCGCTTCCATGGGAAATCGCGGATTCCCGCCGCCGGGCAAGGCGGCACGGGCCGCATTTTGGGGAGGGCACCTCCCCCGATTCGTGGATTTGGCGACCGCGCGCCAAATCCATGGATCACTAATCCATCTTTGCGCGCCCTCGATTCCGAGATGGCGCTGGCCTTACACTTACGACAACAACTGTTGTATGCTCTCTATATGTGGCGCCATAGGCCCAGGTTTCGGGGTCACAGCGGGGGTCAGACAGGGCTGCCCGCTCTCGCCGCTCCTTTTCTCCATCATATCCGATGTCTTGCTTCGCCGTGTCCGACGCCTGCCGCCCGAGGTTCTGATCCGGGCCGACTCGGATGATATCGCGCTCGTCTTGCAACACTTGTCGCAGGCTCGGCAGTTGGAAGTCATCTTCAGCGAGTACCAGTTTGTCTCCTGCCTGAAGCTCCACTCCAGGAAATCGTTGATCGTACCTTTCTCCCTGCGCGGGTACGACGAGGTCCGGGCCGACGTGGCAGCAAAAGCTCGCGCGTGGGGCGCCTTCAGCATCACCGGGCACGCGAAGTACCTCGGCTTCCTGCTTGGCCCCACCCGCGGCGCGCAGGCCTGGGACGATGCGATCCGAAAGATGCACGCTAGGGCGCGGGTCTGGAAGGGGATTGGGGGCGGCATGCTCGTCACGCTCATTGCGCTGCGCATGTACGTGTTCCCACTGGCTGGCTTCCTTTCGCAGTTAGAGGAGCTACCTCCAACCTGGAAGCAGGAGGAGCGGCGGTTGGTCAACGTGCTGTTCTCTGGCGCTCGAGGTTGGACGCCCCCCGAGCTGATGCAGAACTTGCGCGGCTGGGGCTCCCCCGCGGAAGTGCCGAGCATGGAGGCCACGGCGATCGGCGCGAAGTGTCGGGTTCACCTGTGGGAAGACACAGGCTGTGGAGGGCTCCGAGTTCGACGTCGCTTGCTCGACTTCTCCGCGAAGCAGGCCCTCATGCAGTTCCCAGATCGGATGGCCGCGTGGCTCCTTTGGTTGAACGGCAATTTCTTCGCCAACCTCCAGAAAGTTCAGCTGACGCTGACGCGCCGGGCCGGCGCTGAGCGCACGAGCGTGGACAGGCTTCTCCAGGGTTCCTCGCCCAACCCGCTCCCGAAAGGCCGGTGGCAGGCGAGGTGCAGTCAGATTCCGAAGCAACCGTCAGTCTCTGCTGTTCATCGACATGTGCGCCGTCGGCTGGACAGGTGGCGCATTCCCCTCCCTTCGGGCCATCGTGTCCGACGTCCTTGAAGCCGTGCTCCAGCTTATCGGCCGCGCGGTGCCGCCGTGCGTGTGGGCCGCTGTCGTCAAGGCCACAATGGACGGCTGGACGCGCGCGGTTCCCAGCCTTCGCGCAGCTCATTGCTGTTTCGGCTGCGAGTCAGGACGGGGCTCCATGCAGCATTACGCCATCTGTCCTGTGGTGGCGAGGCTGGCTGGGGCCCGGCTCCGGTTGGCATTGGCCCCCCTCGAAGAGCGGCTCGAGGACTTCCTGCTTCTCAACGGGCGCTTCGACACCTCGCAGTTGGCGCTGCGAGCCCTTCGCTTGTATGCGACGTTCATGGCCACGACTGCCGCCCGCAATGGGAGCGCGTCAGTGGCCAGTGATGCATGGGTCCAAGCCATGACGGAGGCAGCGGGCAGGGATTCGCCGCTCAGGCGCATCGTCGCCACCCTCTGGAGTACTTCCTCGTTCTCTTCGTGACCATCGCGGCGCTCATCGCCTTTTTTCTGGGCCCTCGCGGGCTTCTTCTTCTTCCTCCACCTCTTCTACTTCATGTTGTTCTGCTTCTACGCCGGGCTGCTTCGTGGCTCTCACCTACGCCGTGGACTGGGACGTTATCCACGGACGTGTACTGATTTGGCCGCCCTCCTCCTCCTCCTCCTCCTCCTCCTCCTCCTCCTCCTCCTCCTCCTCCTCCTCCTCCTCCTCCTCCTCCTCCTCTCTCTTTTCCTGCTCCTCCCTCTGGTGTGTTGCTGTGCGTTTTTTACATTATTATATGAGCGGCCGTTTGGGCTGCAGAGGAACGTCGCACAGCGCCCTTGCCCCTTCCTCTCTTCCTCTCCCCCGTCCTCCTCCTCCTCTGCCTCGCCCCCCATCAGACACATTCAACAGGGAGGTTGCATTCGAGTCGCAAATTATTCCTCATCTGTAGTGCCACCCGTGTGCTGTTGTTCCCTGCTTTGAAAAGGGGTCGAAACAAACTTACAGGCAAGGCCCGCGCCTTCTCAGAAGCAGGGGTGCTTCTACAAAGCCTTCCCCCCTCCCCTTGCTCCCCCTCTGCGCTCCGCCAGTAGGATCAAGTCGGGCCTGTCCTCCTACAGGGGGGCTCTGGACGACAAAAAACACATGTTCACACATATCCCAAAATGGTCAACAAATCTCCCAAAACACAGTCCCTTTTTCCCTACCTAGGCTCTGTCTAGACGGGTTATTACCCTCTGGGCTTAAAGGGGCCGGGCAGTGGAAAGCGCCCCGGGCGGTTCCCCCAATATCCGCCCCGCGGTTCCCCCAGCTACGCCCCCTTAGTTTAGCGTTGCTTATATCATCTTAGCTTAGCTTATTTCATCTTAGTTTAGCTTAGCTTCACCTTAGCTCAGGTTTGTCCTAGCTTAGCTTACCTTCGTCTCCGCTTCGATGAGTTTTAGCTCAGCACAGCATAACATAGCGTAGCATCGCATAGCGCATCACATCATATCATAGCATAGCCCAGCATAGCATAGCATAGCTCAGCATTAACATGGGTGGAAGTCCATACCTAGGCTCTGCCTAGAGGCTTAGCTTAGCTTACCTTAGCTTAGCCTAACTTAGTTCAACCTAGCATAGCGCAGCGCAGCGCTGCATTAGCATAACATAGTATAGCCGAATGCCGCCAAGCATGTCATAGCATAGCATCGCGCAACATCGCACATCCTAGCACAGCATAACACAGCACAACACAGCATAACATAGCATAGCGTAGCACATCGCATCTTTGCACAGTATAGCATATACTAACATATCTTAGTATAATACAGCGCGGCATGACATATCACAATTTCTCATTGTATACCATAGCATAACATAGCAGAACATAACATACCGCAGCATATCATATCATAGCATAGCATCGCATAGCACATCGCAGCATCTCATGTCATACCATAGCATAGCCTATCATAACATAGCAACTACTGCTGCTTTCCTAGGGGCTCCAACTTCTAGGTATGGTCGCACTGGGGTTATGTTTTGTAGAAAAGAAATTGAATATTCCTCCTCTACACGGACAGGCCCGACTTAACAGAAGGGGTTGGTTCGGCCGCGCCCGACGGGCCCCCCCGCCCCGCAGAAGAGCGGGCGGCCAGGGCCTGCGCCACGGCGGGGGCCTGCCGCCGATCCGTCGGCGCTGCGCCGCCCATGCCGCGCTCGGTGTTTCGGCGAAGGAGAACACGCACACGCGGGCACAGATCATCGTAAGTCGGGCCTGTCCCTCTACAGGAGGAGTATTCAGAAATGGGAAAATCGTCCGGGGACGAGTTCTTGACCACTTGTTTGACCATGCGAGAGTATGTAGTCGACTATGTTTGGGTTGTTCGTCCAAACTCCGCTTGTAGGGGGGACATGCCCGACCTAAGCCGAGTTCTGTGTTTTCACGAGGGCAAACATGCACACACGGGCACAGATACTCGGCGGCTCCCCGGGAGAAGCTGGGAACGTACGGGAAATGTGTGTGTGGGGGGGGGGAGACGAGAGCCCAGACGATTTAGAGAAGACTGGTGGGCTCTTGGGAGTTGTGCGCGCTTCTTTCTGCGTGCCCTGGGTTCCTTCAGTGCTTCCCGTCCGCCCCACCTGAGCCAGTCGCCCCCCCCTTCCCTGTCGTTCTTCTCGGGGGTCGACAGACCTCCTACCCTGACACGTCGATTAAGGAGTTGGCCGCTTTCGGTTCGCGAGAGGGCGTCGCGACCGTCATTTTTGCGGGCCCAAGTCCGTCGGTTTCGGGCCTTTGCCGTTTTCACTAAGGGGAGATCTACTCAGTCCACCGCCGATCTTCCTCGGGCCTGGGGGGGCTGGGAGCGCCGGGGGGGCTGGGGCAGGGGCGCGGCCCAGGGGGGGGGGGGAAGCGCCGACCCCCCGAGCCTCAAGTCGGGCCTGTCCCTCCCACAGGAGGAAGGTTCAAAACTGGGCAAAAACTTATATGGGGCCGATGTTTCCATTATGTTTGAACATTTGTATTTTTTTTTGCTATTTCCCCCCAATCCCTGACCTAACCCGAGCCAGTCCCCTGCTGCTGACGTTCTCCCTCGGGATTGGGCAGTTCTTTTGTCAAGGGTCCGGGGATCACTCAGGGCATCGGGCCCGCCCGCCCGCTTCCCCCCGGACAACCTGACCTTGTCGGTGGCGCGGGTCCGAAAGGGGTGCGCCGTGCTGGGGCGAAAAGGTACGTACAGGTATCGGCCAGCACCCCCCCCCCGATGGATAACCCGAGTCATCGCCAAGCAAGACGGCATGCATTTTGGGAGCTTGCGGTAGGCGCAAAGGCGCCGTGACGGCGAGTGGTGGTTGTCAGCACCGCTCACCATGTGAGGCTGGGCGCGATCGGGCCAAGCTAGTGGTCAAGCGAAGCTCCCCCGTCGCGAGGCCGGTTTGGAGAGCGCCGAGCCCGAGGCGCCTCGGGGCGGTGTCCGGGAGAGCACGTGGACGACACTGCGGTGCAGTGCTCCGTGCGGGAGACGATGCCATCCTCCCTGTGGGCGGGCCCGCCGATCTGAGCCTGCGAGTGGGTTCAGTCGGCGGCGCGCCGGGGGAGGGGGGAGTGCAGGGGGGGAGGCCTCTCAGGAGGCTGCGTGGCCCCTCGGAGGCCCTCGCGCTTCCGAGGAGAGTTTGTCTGTGCCTTCTGGGGGGGGCTTCGGCGACTTTTGAGAAAGCCCGAGGCCCTCCGAGCCCTTGAGAAGGTATGCCCCACCCCCCAAACCACCCCGACCCAACCCGAAGGCTCAGATTTGCCCTCGATTTCCAGTGGGGGGGGTGGTCGGGAAACATCGACAACAACACATGTGGAACCCTGACCCCCCCCAACCCGAAATTCGGGTCTTCGGGGTGGTCTGGTAGGTAGTCAGGTACTCCAGATTTCGTAATAAAAGGGAGGGGGTCTCATTTCGGGGGGGGTCTCTTCCAGGCTATCTTGGAGGGCCTGGGGGGGTCTGGGGACGATGTTTTGGAGGGTTCTCCCACGGGGGAGGTCTGAAATGGCTTGTCTTGGAGGGTCCAGACCCCCTCCCTTTTATTACGAAATCTGGAGTAGTCAGGTGTGCCCCTTCTCTCACTGCCCGCCCGGCTCGACGCCAGGCTCGGCGGCCTCGCCGCGCGCCTGGCCTTCTGGTCACCCCGGGGTCTCCGCGCTCCGCTCGGGTGGCTGCCCTGCTGCGCCCGCTGGTCCCTCCTTCTGGGGAGAATTGGGGGGGGAAGGTCAAGAGGAGAACAAACACACAGACACAATTGATCGTCGATCCCCAATAAAATATGCGAGGCTATGGGAAGTGGGGGGAAGACAGGAACCCAGAACATACGGGAATGTATGGTGAATCCTTTTATTTGTGTGTGTTTATTTGTGTGTCTCAGGGCCCCTTCAAGATTTGGGGGGGAAAGGGTCAACGTGGCGAGGAGGGGGATGATGCGGAGCGAGAGGTGGAACCGCCCTCCGCGGGCCGCCAGGAGACGACGGAGAGTAGAGTCGGGGCGCTGGAGAAGGAACCCTTGTCGTTGGGGAGGGGCTCCGTGTTCCTGGATTGTTTCACAGCTTCCCTTGTGTTTTCCCTGGGTTTTCGATGGGAGATCGAAGTTTAACTCAGGGAAAGAGGGGCCTCGTTCCTTATTTCGGGTTCCTTGGGTCAACGCCCCGACTGTAGGAGTATGGGAGGGTGGGAGTTTGTGGGGAGGGTTCACGGGCTCGATGTTGACGGAATCCTGGCAGGAACAGCGAGAGTTTTGCCGGATCAAGCTGCGTCTGCAGGACCCATAAGCCGACAGCTCAAAGCTCGGGAGGTGGAGGAGGTGGAGGAGCGGATGAGAGTGGGCGGGAGGTGCAGGAAGAGGCTCCGTTTCGATTCGATTCGATATCGATAGATTCCGATTCCGATTCGATTCGGCTGCGGATTCCGATATGGATATCGGTGTGCCAACGGGGGCCTTACTAGCATGCCGATTTCCGTTGAGTCGACTTCTCCCGACTTGGCTGCCGCTTTCCACCGATCCGATTCATTTCGGTCGTCGATCTGACGTACCGATCCGATTCTGGGCTCTCCTGGAGACGTGGAGGAAGAGGATTTAGCAATCGTATTTGTTCCGAGCACGGGGCCTGTGGGCCTTCGCATTCAGTGACCCGATGCGCATCGCACCGATGCATCGATTCCATTTGCCCCCTCTCATATTCTCACAGGAGAAGTTCGCCGGCTACCTTGAGCTGATGGGATTGATCGTACTGCTGTCGAGGCGACGGATGGGCAGTGCAAATGACTTCCATTTTCGAGTGCGACGGATTACCAGTTTACCATTCGCCCCTCTCTCTCTCTTCTACTCGTCAGTCTTCGGTTCCCCCTCTCATCACCACACGTGTCTACAGGGAACTGCATACCATAGTCGCAGGCCTAGAGCCTAGAGATTGACACCAACACCAATTTCGGCGGTTTGCCTCCATCGAGGGAAGAAGATCCCGATCTCGGCGATGGTTGTAATATTCTGGCTTCCAAGGTGGCCGAACTATTACCACCAACACCGAAAATCTAGGATCACCTTCCCCTGTGGAGGCAACCCCCTGTCTTGGTGTTGGTGCCAATTTCCAGGCCTCCGACATAGTCCCACCCCCCGCAGTTGCGGATACGGGTGAGCGAGAGGGGGGGGGAGCCGTCGGCGGTCTGCGAGGCTCGAACGCAGATCCGACGGAGCCCGCCGCAGGTGCCGAATTTCTGCACGTTGCACGGCGAGCCAGCCGCAGGCGCGATTTTCGTCAGAGCAATGTGGGTTTGTCGCGGATGGATCGCGGGTGAGTCTGGGGTGGATCGATGTCAGGAGGGAAAGAAACACACAGACACAATTAATCGTCGATTCCCAAGAAAATATGGGAAAGTATGGGAAGTGTGCGGGAAGACAGAAACCCGGAAAATATAGGAAAATATGGGGAATCTTGTTATTTGTGTGTATTTAGTTGTGTGTCTTAGGGCCCCTTCACGATGGTGGGTCGCGGGTGGGTCGCGGGTGGATCGTAAATGGGTCTCGGGCGGGTCGTTGATGGGTCGCGGGCGGGTCGCGGTCGGGTTACCTGCAAGGACGACGACACAACACAACACAACACAACAACACACAATAATACATGAACCATCACTCATAATCGTTGAGGGATGTTGTAAGACCGCTCGGCCCCCCTGAGTTCTTACAAGGAGTGGCCGAGCCATGCGTTGCCTTGTTCTGGCGCCCCCCCCCAAACCTCTGGCTATCACCCACCACAGTGCCCTGCGCCTTGTAGGGGCGCCCTTCGCCAGCGCCACCCCCCCCCCACCAAAAAGTAGACGGATGCACAGATTTATTTTCAGTTCGAACCAATCAGCGCGTACGTGGTGACACGAAATAGCCTCGCATGAGGTGGAGCCTTTCAACCCGACTGCAATCGGATGCGCTTGAATACTAAAATTGGATGCGCGAGAAGACACCAAGGGGTAATACTGCTCTGTTGCTTCGACGGTCGGTGCGCGTGCTTCTTCAGCATGTGGAGCAGTTGCACGGCTGAATGCTGGGCCCCTCTTAAACAGAATGCGTATCGGATCGTAGTAAAGCCGATGTCCACATGTATGCCGATGGAGGGCCGACCCTCTTTAGATATTCGGGTAATCTCTCACATCGCGCTGCGATTCTTGTTTTGACTAGTGTTTTGCACACTTAGAAATCAATGCGACTCGTGAGCTTCCAAATCCCCGTTCTCCCAGGTGACGAAGACAAAGGGTCCTCACCCTTGGCCCTCCCCATGCGCCAAGCTCCCGGCAGGGCAGACTTCTTCTAGATCCCGAGCTAGTGGCAGTAACCATGGGACACACAGCGGGTGCTCGCTAGAGTGCGCAGGGTTACTTCTGCACTTCTGCGGCAATTTCGTGTCGTGCTGACGCGACGACGACCCCGTCGCAGGCTCTCAAGGTTGAACGTCGCCCGCGGCCCAGAGCCTTCCAGTCTTCGGGCGTTGCGTAACGGGGGAGGGGATGATGATTGGTGCACCTTTGGGTGCCCGTAATGGTCCCCATGGGGCCCGACGTGGCCACGAATCGTGCACGTTTCTTCGCCCCTCCATGTATCGCCTCCTGTAAGCAAGGCCCAAAGTATGTAACGATCTGGCGATCTAAGATCCTCCGATCAAGGTTGAACGATCCGCGCGGTGTCAGACCTCCGCCTGGTGGCCATCCTCCGCGTGGTGTCAGTCAATTCGAGCTTGCGCACCTGGAGGCCATTCTCCGCCCATCCGCCACGGTGCTTGGGCTGCGGGCGCGAGGCGCAGCGGGATTGTGGGAGTACCGCGGCTGCCTGGGATGCGGGCATCATGGGATGGGCGTCCATCAGCGTCTGGTAATCGATGGGGCAGCACCGATTTGGCGTCGATCAGTGTTGAGCAGAGTCGACTCAACGCTGCTTCGCAAGAGCTAGCAAGATGGGATGAGAGGCTCCCATGAGCTGCCGCAGGGCACGTTTCGGCATCTCGGGTGCGAGCTTGCTCCCGGGCACGCCCCGAAGGTTTTCCACGCTCTGCGAGTTCCCCAGCCGCCCCGCGGCCCTCCCTCTGCTCGCCCCTCGCCCACCGGCGCCCGTGCGCTCCAATTCGCTCGGGAGCCTTGAGACGGGGGTCAATGCAAACGGGGGTCAGCCAAGGCGCCAGATCCTGCAGGATCCTGCGAAGACCCCCTCTGGCTGACCCGGGTTAGCGAGCCGCTCGTGGCCGCGAGGCGGCCGCTCGTATTGGCTGACCCGGGTTTCCGAAGACCTGCGTTGGAGTTTTTTTTCCTGCATTGCAGTTTTTGGTTTCTTGCTGACCTGGGTCTGGATTGCCCCGGGTCAGAAGATCCCCGATTCGCAGCGGATGCGTCCCGCCGTTTGGTTGTCCGCTTGCCGGACCCAGCTTGCCGCTGATCCAAAAATTCAGAGGATTTTTTTTTGGGGGGGGGATCTGGGAGCTTCCTGGGAGCAGATGGGGGGCCGCTTTGCAGGCTTCCGGGGGGCCTCTGGGGGCCCCTGCGGGGTATCGGGTTTATATTATATATTGTGGGAAATTGAAATGAGTTTCAGCGGTCCATCGGTGGCGCGCTAATTGGAGCATTGGAGCCCTCCTTTGCGGCCATTTTGGAGCCCTCGTCGGCCTCTCTCAGGAGCCGCGAGTGCTGCAGTGGAGGCCTCTTGGGCTGGCCTGGGCGCGTAGGATATCGAGAACGACGCGGTGTGACGAGACTACGGCCTCTTGGTCGGCCCCAAGATCGCCAAGGTGCCTCCACGACGCCCCAGTAGTCCCCCGGGCGAGCTCCGGAGGGCGGGCCCTCGGGTGCACACGTGGAGCAGGGGCTCCGCATGGCGCACCCGGAGACGCCTCTGGAGAGGTCACGCGGCGGACCCCAAGAGCGCCAGGGAGCGCGCAGAGGCATCCAGGAAAGCTTGAGGGCCCCGGGGACTCTCGGGGGCGGACAGAACCCCCAACAGTGACACGTCGATTAGTGAATTGTCCGCTTTCGGTTCTCGAGAGGGCGCCGTGGCCGTTATTTTCCAGGCTTGCGCCCGCCAGGTTTGGGCCTCAGGTCGTTTTCACTAAACCACGTTTTACTAAAGGGGGGTCTGTCCATCCCCGAGGCTCGGGCGTCGCGTAGTGGGAGGGCGGTGAACGGGAGGGTAGCGAGAGGTCTGTTGGGGCCCCTTATAGGAGGGCCCTTGAGGCCCAAAAGGGGACCTTTCGTGAGGGCCCGAGGTGTGCACCTGTCTCTCCCCCTCCATGTTTCGCCCTCCACTGAGCGACGCCCCAAGTGGCAATGATGTACGGCATTCAGCGACGAATACGTCTGAGAGCTGGAAGGCGTTCCACCTCGGTGCCTGCGACACGGCGCAATGTGTGTGTGTGTTTGTGGTTATGGTTGTGGTTATGGTTGTGATTGTGAGTTGTGCTTGTGCTTGTGTGTTGTGATGTTGTTTGTGTTTGGTTTTGTGTTTGTGCTTGTGTTTGTTGTTTGTGTCTGTTGTTTGTGTCTGTTGATTGTGTTTGTCATTGTGATTGTGCTTGTGCTTGTGTTTGTGCGTGCGCGTGCGCGTGCGTGTGCGTGTGCGTGTGTGTTTGCTATGTGTATATATATGTATGTATATCTCTCTATATATATATATATGTAGAGATAGTGCAACGGTGTGTTTGTAGCTCGTGCCGTTCCTTCTCGTCGCCCCCGTTTCCTTTCTAGTCTCTCTCTCTCTCTCGCGGTGTATATATATATATAAAATTACATCGCGCGAGGGAGACTAGTTTGTGTTTGTGCTTGTGTTTGTGTTTGTGCGTGCGTGCGCGTACGCGTGCGCGTGCGCGTGCGTATGTGTGTGTTCGTGTGCGTGTGCGTGTGCTTGTGCGTGTGTGTTACACACATATATATATATATGTATATATATACATGTATGTATATATCTATATGTATATACATATATGTGTTAAAACGGTGTATTTGTAGCTCGTGTCGTTCTTTCTCGTCGCCCCCGTCCCCTTTCTAATCTCTCTCTCTCTCTTTCTCTCTTTCGGTGTATATATACATATATATATATATATATATATCACTATTTCCCCTTTTTCTTTATGCCACGTGTGTTGCCCTGGACGGACATATCGCAGAGGGGGGGGCGCAAGAGCCGGAGCAGGAGCAAAGGGTGGAGGAAGAGACAGGGAGGATGAACCCGAGAGGGGGACGAGGTGGAGAGCGACAAGTGTCAGGCGATCGCAACCATGGATTAATAAGGGGGCGTGGATGACGTGCCCCGTTGCCATGGGAAATCGCCGATTTCCGCCGCCGAGCGAGCGGCACCGGCTGCATTTTGGGGGAGGGCGCCTCCCCCGATCCGTGGATTTGGCGACCGCGCGCGAAATCCACGGATCGCCAATCCATGCCTGCGCGCCCCCGAAAGTGGCAGAGGGGGAGGAGCGGCAGAGGTGGAGGATCACGAGGAGCGGCGATGATGAGCACCAGCAGGAGGCCTCTCTGCTGCGGTTGGTAGGGAGCTTCTGCATACAGAAGACGGGGCGTGAGCTCGTGGTCCTCCTCTCTCCCCCCCTCCTCCTCCCCTCTCCTCCTACTTCCCTCCTCCGTCCTCCTACGTCTTCCTCCCTGCTCATTCTCGTCATCTTCCTCGGGGGCCTCCCTTGGCGGGCGATTTGGCGACTTTGCGGAGGTGTCTCGAGCGGGAACTTCCGGGCAGACGCCCGCGCCGACTCTTGCGAGGATGTCTCGAGCGAGAGCCCTGGACCAGGACACGCTCGGTGCGCCCCAGCGCGCGGCGGCGGATCCCTGGAAGTGGTCCCTGGGGGCGCTGTGGGGCTTGACGTTCTCGCGCGCTGGGGGTCGACTTTGACAGGGGCGTCCCGAGCGAGAGCCCGGGCCTGGGACATGCCCGGCGCGCCGCGGCGCGCGCGGGCAGCTCCCCAGCAATGGCCGCTGTGGGGCCGCCGTGGGGCCTGCCTCCCTCGCGCGCCAGGGGTCGACACCTCGTGGGAGGGCGTCTCGAGCGAGGGCCCCGGACTGGGGCGTCTGGCGCACCCCGGCGTGCGTCCGAGGGTTCCCTGGGGTCGGGGGCGGAAAAGAGGGGGGTGATGACTAGGGGGGGTGGATATCATGGCGGGGGCCATGATTGTTCCTCAGATTTCATGGCGCCTCTTCTTATTTCATTACGTCCCTGGCCCCCCCGCTGGGCCGCGCACATGCCGCCGGTCATGATTTGCACCCCCCCCTCTTGGACACCCCCCTCTCTTGGCCGCTCCCGATGGGGGAGGCTCGGGGGGTCGGCTGTTCGAGGACGTCCCGCGCGAGGGCGCCCGTCTGGAAGTCGTCGCCAAGCTTCCCGGAGCTCCCCGATCGGCAAGCAGAACAAGGGGGGCCTTTGACGGCCTCGCTGGGGAGGTTCGGGGGGCCGGTTTCCTGAGGACGTCCCGCGCGGGGGCGCTGGTTTGGAATTCGTCGCCGAATCTCCCTGATATTTTTTGATTTCTTGGAACAGGAACATGGGGGGCGGTTGGCGGGCCCATTGACTCACACGCAAGGGTCAGGATGACGCGAGTTCTCATGAGAACTCCCTCAAATCACTCCGGCTGGCGTCTGGAATCGTAACATCCTTACACGCCGAGAGTCGGCTTTCTTGGATCCCCAGATCCCAGTCTGTTTTAGCCGCCTTCCTACTTCAAGAGTCGAGCGGCTTTCCCTCTCCCCTCCTCTCCAGGGGGCGGCCCCAATCTACTTCCAACGCCTTCCTGCCTCATTGTTTCTACACCCGCTTCCTCGGACCGACGGTTAGTGCTGGCGTGCGGAGTGAGAGCAGCCCCGGTTGTGGGCCCCCGTCCACCGTCCACCTCGAAAGTGCCCTCCACCTCGAAAGTGCCCTCCCTCGAAAGTGCCCTCCCTCGAAAGTGCCCTCCCTCGTCCTCCTCGAAGGTGCCCTTCCTCGAAAGGTCTGCCCTTCCTCGTGTCTGGGCCCCCGTCCACCTCGACAGTGCCCTCCTTCGGGCGTGTCCCCGCCGGCCCTCGGGCCCTCGGCGGCGTGGCTCGGGTGCTCCTGCCCCGCGCTCTTCTGGCTGTGCCCGTCGCCGGCAGCAGCAGCAGCAGCAGCAGCAGCAGCAGCAGCAGCAGCAGGAGCACCGACGACGACGAGGACCGACGGGGACCGACGGCGACGACGACCGCGGCGGATGATGACGACGAGGGCCGACGAGCGAGGACGCGCGGACCCGAGGAAACGAGGCGGGCGGAGCTGCGGGGGCGGCAGGGGGAAGCTCTTCTGCTGACCCCCCGCTTGTCTCTGGAGGGTTCGGGGGAACCAGAGTCCTGCGTCTCCCCGAAGGGCGGCGCGCAACGTCGCCATCTCGGCCTTCCCCTACTCCTACATCCGCTACGCCACCACGCCGGCGCAGTTCCTGACTCCCAAGTACGCGGAGAGGCGCGCGCCAGTTCGATGGGGCATTTCGTTCCGTCGTCTCTGCTGCACCTCGACAAGTCTGCATGTTTCCCGCCACGGCGCCCCACGCACGCAAGAGAAAGCGTCGGTGAGCAAGAGAGGGGGTCGGCTCTCGAACGGTTCGAGGTTCCATGTTGCTGCGCTTGCGAAGGCGGGCAAGATTGTCTACATCCTTCGCTCGACCCTTCGCGCGACCGCAAGGATTTGGCAGGGCCTTCGATTGGCAAGCGCCCGTCGCCGTGCATGTTCACTCGGATGATCGCGAGCGGCGAACATATCCGTAATTATCCGCGCCTTCGCGGTCTGGATCTCGAGCGCGATCCCGCGGATACGCGGTCCCGCGGATATGCTCCGCGCGGGCGTCCACGAAAAAACCTTCCGTTTCTGCGGAGTCGCGGCCCAGGGGCCCGCCCGCGAGACCGCGGACGTAGACCTGCGTTCCGCCCAAGAGTTAGCACAGTGTTGTCGAACTCACGGCCCCCTGTTCTCCCTGCCTCGATCGCGCGTGCACGGCGAAGAGAGGGACGCCCTGCCTTGCCTGCATTCTGCCACGCCTCTGCATCGTTCCGCCCCTCGTCCCCTATGTAGCCAAGATTCCGAGATGAGGAGCAGCTCGGATTCGGAAGGGGTTCGCCGTTCTCAGGCTCATTCCTCGGTTTTTCCTCATGTGGTGCTCCTGAAAGTAGCATCTTGACTGCCCTCCCTCTTTCATCGCAGTCATCCGGTCCCGGCAATAATCATGCGATCCGTTAGGGATTTCAGGCATCATGTTTGAGGATCTTCCTCCTGACTCGACGGATGCCCTCAACCGTGGTAGCTTGAGGATGAGGAGGGGGAGGAGGAGAAGAAGGAGGAGGAGGAGGAGGAGCGAGTCATCGCCCAACAGCCTGTCTAAGCGCAAGAAGGGCGAGGATAGCCTGGGCGACGAGGAGCAGCGGGCACGTAAGGCGACGCGCCGGGTCGAGTCTGCGGGGCGGACAGCCGCAGCCGGAAGAGGCGAGAAACACCACCGCACGCAGATCGGGGCCCGTCGCACGATGGCGAGAGGGCCTTGGCATCGCTCGGACGTGTGCATTTTTCCTTCGGCGGGGGCCATCGAGGAGCATCCTTGATCATTTGGCGAAAAACCACGCACGAAACCGAAAAAACACAGGGAATGGACGTCCGAGCGATGGCCAGGGGCGGGTCGAGGCGAGGGAGTGCGACCTCGCCGGCGTGCGCTGCCGAGGCCGCGACAGACCTGGCGAGGCCACAGAGCAGGGCGGAGAGAATGCCCCAAAGGCCCAAGACGAGGCCGGAACACCGCACGGCATCCACAGCCATGAAGTTCTATATATTTGTATATATATATATGTATATATATGTGTGTGTAGATATAGTCACATGTCTGTATATGTGCATGTCTGTATGTATGTCTGTATGTATGTATATATGTATGCGTGTAGGTATGCCTTTATGTATGGATGTCTGTATGTATATATGGTTGGTGTATGTGTGTATATGTATGTATGCGTGTATGTGTGTATGTGTTTTCGTATGTACATATGTGCCTCTGCATGCATGCATGTGTACTTTCATGCATGTATGTATGCAAGCATGCATGCATGTAGAGTTGTATGTATGTGTGTATGCGCGAATGTATGCACGTATGGATGCATGCATGCATTCATGCATGCATGTATGTAGTATTTAGGCATGTACGTACGTACGCATGTACGTTTGGACGTGTGTATGTATGTGTGTATGTCTGGATGTGTGGATGTGTGGGTGTGTGTATGGCAGTGTCTATGTATGTATGCATGTAATTATGTCTGTATGTGAATATGTATGTGTGTCTGCGTGTCTGTGTGTATGCATGCATGCATGCATGGATGTATATACATGTAGACATACGTGTACGCGTGTATGTATATATGTATATTTGTATATATATATATATCTGTATCTGCTTAATTAATATGTATATGCGTGTATGTGTGCATGTATGTATCTGTGTACGGCTATAATGCGTGTATATGTATATGTATAGATATGTGTATGGATGTGCATGCATGTGTGTACACGCAGGTGTATGAATGCATACATGTACGTACGTATGTAGGCGCATATGTGTATGCCATGTATACATGCATGTACGTATGTATGTATGCATGTCTGTATGCAGGTATGCACGTATGTGTATGTACGCATGTAGGTATGTGTGTATGGTTCATGGTTGTATGGATGTGGTGCATGCCTGTTTGTATGTATGGTTGTATGTGTGGATAGACTGACATGTATACATATATATATATATATGTATATATATATGTATATATATGCGTACGTATGTATGTGTGTATGTAGGTCGACAGGTCGGTAAGTAGCTAGGTAGGTCGGTAGGCGGGTAGGTAGGTAGGTAGGTAGGCATGTATCTCGCTCTCTCTCTCTCTCTCTGCGCCACTTCCTCCGGGGGATGGCCTCCAGCAGGTAAGAGTTTCGCAGATCGTGCAATTGCGAGCGGGCCCCTCTTCCCGGTCACGGCCACACCCTTTAATGTCCTACGCAGATCGTTGGCAACGTACAGTGGAGACCCATGCCAAGAAACACCCTGCTCGCCTCCAGGGTGCCCTGGGTTTCTTGGGTTTCGATGGTTGTGCGATGGGAAGCGTGACGTGCCCACACCAAAAAATCATTGGACGCCCTGAGGTCTCAGCGTTGGGTTTCTCTTGGAAGGTTTCTTGTGGTCGGGCCCCTGCTGTGCAGGCGGTGGCATCGGGCACTTTCAGGCAGCACCTCCCCTTCGAGAAGGATCGCGGCATCGGTTCCCCGGGCGGCACTGCGTGTCACTTGCCGAGGGGGGCGGGGGGGGGGCATGAGGGCGCCTCCTCGAGCCAACATCCACCGCCCCCTGGAGGACCCCTCGAGGTCCAGGCGGCAGGCCTCAGGACAGCGGCGAAACCCCTACGAGGCCTGTGCCGCCGCTCCAAGTCTTCGAGGTCTCCTGGATCCCTCGCACCCCTCCTGCTCCCCTCTGTGGCCCCGCTCGCGGCCAGGCAAATCTGGCAGGGTGGCACAGGCGAAGGCGAGGACGGAGGAGGAGGAGGAGGAGGAGGAGGAGGAGGAGGAGGAGGAGGAGGAGGAGGAGGAGGAGGAGGAGGAGTGGGGGGAAGTGGATCCCAAACGGACGCCTGAAGCCTGCTGCTCCTGCTCGCCTCGGGGGGGGGGTTCTCCAGACCTCTTCTGATGAAAGGGCCTGGGGTCCCCTGAGACGGGGTCGGGGGCACGGGGGCACGGCATGGCTTCACACCGCACGGCTCACGGCACATCCTTGATGGGACGAGGAGGAGTGGGAGCATGAGGAGGAGGAGAAGGAGGAGGAGGAGGAAGAAGGGGCGGAGGAGGAGGAGGAGGAGGAGGAGGAGGAGGAGGAGGAGGAGGAGGGGACGACGAGGACGCGGATCAGACTGATCAGAGGACGAGGAGGAGCAAACATGAGTGGTAAGTGGAAGACGATGTCGAGGAGGGATGAGGTGGACGACGATTACAATGAGGCGGAGGTGACGAGGACGAGGACGAGTAGCAGGATCGGACGAGGAATACGCAGGGGACGCGAGCGAGAATCTGGCAGAGTATTTCTGCCTCTGACCCTCCTCCCTGTCATTGTCGGTGATCGTTGCCGTCGTCGTAGTCGCCGTCGTCTCCAATGCTGGCGACTGGAGTCTGACAGTGAGCGTCATATAAATCAAGATGTCCCTTTCGAGCCATTGCAGAGGGCCGTACAATGGCCTGGCTTCCAACGCTGGACATGCACACATTTCTTACCATTCGTCGGCATGCCAGTGACAGCAAGTGTCATGATCCATCGCGGATTAGTTCTAGGTTTACAGTTCTTGCGTCCAGGTGGGATGTGCGTCTGTCTCAGAGTGCCTGTCTCTGATGATCATCTCCATGTGTGGCGTCCGAGTCAACACCCTCATCTTCGCCGTCCTCCTTGTTCTCCCCCTTCTCTTCCCTGTTCCCCCTCCTCGTCCTGGCCATCCTCGACCATGTCTTCACAAACAACTCGCACGCGCGCTCTGCCTCCTGCACCGTCGGCCAGGGCTGGGGCCAGGGGCCAGGGCCCCAGGGCCCCAGGGCCCCAGGGCCATGGGTGTGGCCTGGGGCCGGGGGTTGGGCCAGGGCCAGGGGCGGGCCAGGAGAGAGGAGGCGATCGACGACCACCACGACCCCCGCCATGAGAAAAAAGCTAGCTCCGAGCTCTAGAGCACAGGTTTGCAAAAGGACTGCAGGCTCCAGGGCCCGGGGAGGGGCAAGGCCGGGGAGGCTTGAGGACGGTTCCGCGGACAAGGGAGGAACGACGAGCATCCAGGAAACGTAGCGGTCTCTGGGGCCCTGGGCCCCAGTCGTTCTTTGGCGGTCCAGGGGCCCGGCGAGGGCCCACGGAGGCCGGAAGCGACGAAAGGCCTCCGTCGTGATGTTGTCCAGGCGCGGGAAGGCCTGGGGCCTCCTCGCCTTCGAGGGAAAACGGATGACATAAGCATGACTCGTTCGCGCCCAGATCTGGGGATGTCTCAGACGGTCTGCCTGTTTGGTGTCCCATGCTTTTCTCTCTGGTGAGAGCCTCATGGTCACCGCGATGTAGCAATCGTATCATGCGGACACCTCAACCATGAGCCGCCAGGGAGAGGGACACTTGCCAGGGAGGAGGAGTAGGAGGAGGAGGAGGAGGAGGAAGGACGGTGGAGGAGGGAGAAGGAAGAGGAAGAGGAGGAAGGATGAGGACGCCGGTGGAGGGGGAAGGACTGCCGCCACGGAGGAGGAGGAGGAGGTGGAGGAGGAGAAGGAGGAGCAAGGACGGCTTAGGACGGAACAGGACGCATGAGGAGAAGGAAGGGCCCGTCTCTGTTCCGCCTTCTCTCTGTCCGCCCGCCTGCTCCCTCTCAGGTCATTCATGCTCAGACTCACTCACACTCCTTTTCACACTCAGACTCTCATACTGAAGCCCAGGCATACTTAGACCACTCGCGCTCTGAAACGCTTACAGTTACACTAAGCTTAGGCAGACTCAGACACATACACATCGACTCATTCACACTAAGACTCACTGACACTCAAACTCACTGGCACACAGACTCTCCCGTACTCAGACTCTCATACTCAGCCCGTTCATACCCAGACCTTCTCGTACCCCGAAGCTCGCAGCGGAAAGTGCCAGGAAACGTGATGCATAGATTGGGATCTCCGCGTCAAGCAATTCTTCACGTTGCGCGTTTCCCCACCAGCCCATTCACAAACCATGCCAATGAGAATTGACGGGGAAAGGGACGAAGAGACGCGTGTAGTGAGCGCCGTAGCCAGTTGGGATCAAGCCACTTGGCCCGAGGGGTGCTCTCGTGGCTCGAAAAATTCAGAGACAGCCAGAACTCTAAGCTCTCGCCCGCGCCAAGGCCGCCGCCATGCCGGAGGCGATGGAGATCAGCAAGGAGGCGGTGTCGGGCAACGGCACGCTTGAGAACGTGGGGATCAAGCTGGACGGCCAGTTCAAGTGCCCGCACTGCCGACAGACCTTCAGTGATGACAAGGCCCGCCAACTCCACCTGAAGTTCCAGTGCTCCACGGCCATCGCCAAGCAGATCAACCCGATCGGTGATTAGGTAGGCTCTTTGCAGCGAGTACGGTGACGACGCTCCGATCCGCCACTGCGTGACTTGGCGCTGGTGCCTAGCCCATCTTGAAGCGGAAGTGGCCCGTGGGGGAGGGGGGATGAGGAGCTGCTAATCCAATAGCCCTTATAACGGCGACGATGGAACACAGTGCCGGGGAACTGCTTTGAACATCACCAGTCGTTCAAAGCAGTGCCCCGGCACTGCTTTGAACGATGCGGAAATGCGATCAGCAGGAGCCTTCGTCTGTTCCTTCTCCTCTTCTCGTCGCTGTATGCTCTTCCTTGTCCTCCCTCCTCCCCCGTTCCCTCTCTAATTAATTACCTCGTTCTCCCAGTCTCACGCGCACTCTTCCTCCCCCCTCTCCTCCTCCTCTTCCTGCTTCTCCTCCTCGTCCTCCTCCTCCTCCGCCTCCTCCCCCTCATTTGTTATATTTCTCCGTCCTTGTCCTCCTGTCCCCGTTCTCCTTCTCCCTCTCCTCCTCCTCCTCCTCCTCGTCGTCGTCGTCCTCCTCCTCTTCCTCCTCCTCCTCCTCCTCCTCCTCTTCCTCCTCCTCCTCCTCCTCCTCCTCACCTTCTTCCTCCTCCTCCTCCTCCCCCTTTTCCTCTCCCTCCTCCTCCTCCTCCTCCTCCTCCCCCTTCCCCCTCTTCCTCCTCTGCTATCACTCCTCCATAATTCCTGTCCGCTCCTCCCCTTCACTGATCTTCCTCTTCGTCATCATCATCCCTTTCGTCGCACGCCTCTTAATCCTCAATCGGTTCCCAATCTTCTCGACTTTCTTGTCATCCGCGTCCTTGGCTGTTGGAGGGGCCTCAGGAATTCTCAGGGCTCTTGTGTTGCACGCGAAGGCACACCTCCCAGGAACGCATCATCCTCCTCACATTCACCCTCCTCCTCCTCATCCTCCTCCTCCATGCACGTTCGGCTCAAGCCCGCGCCGACGGTAGGTTTCACGGCGGTTGGGCGGGCTCGCGCCCGCCTCCGCGGCCTGCAGTCGGGGCAGAGATGCGTGCAGGGTGGGATGACAAAGCGGAAGAGGAAACACGGGCCGCAGTTGCGGATTCTTCAAAGAGCAGCGGCGGCGGTTGGGGAACAAGTGGGGGTTGGGGCGGCCGCAGTGGCGGATACGGCGGCGGAGGTGACCGCAGTGGCGGCTGGGGCGGCGGAGATTCTCTTGGCGGATGGAGAGGAAAAGCGCAGGATGGCGGCGACGGAAGTGACCGCAGTCGCGGATGGGAGGGCGGCGGATGGGGCGGCAACGGATGCGAGGGTTGGGGAATGGAGGGCGCCCGCTGGTGGGACGACGAGGGTGGCTGGTGGAATGCATGGGAAGGTGGCCGCTCGAGTGCCTCGGCAGGTTCTCCTGCCGCGGAGCCCGCGGCCGCAACAGCGGCGGGCAAAGGAGGCGGTCCCCTGCTTCCCCCAGGGCGCGAAGAACAAGGCGCAGTTGCGCTGTTTCAAATTGTGCGCAATGAGCCGCTGCCAATTTTCAAGTTGGAATTCTTCGAGAACTTCAGGGCGAACTGGAACGGCAATTATAAGCAGCACAACGCGGCCTTGAAGTGGTTCCGAGACGAGTACGAAGACCGAGAAAACCCTTTCGGCAGCCGCACGCCCGTCTTCGGAGGTACCGCAGTTGCGGAGGAAATTTCGAAGATCCTTAAGTACCGCGCAAAGGGGAAGGCGCAGGACAACAGGGATTGGGACTGGGACCACACTGTCAAAGTGCCGTGGTCTTGGCTGGAGATGGTCGCGCAGATGGATGGACCTACAATGCTGCGCGTCGTGTGCGGCCCTGACAATGACCGCAGTCGCGGGTTGGTCCGCTGCGAGTGCCGCCCGTGCCCTAGCAGTCTCGACAACATGAGGCACACGAAAGGGGTGGACAGAGGACAGGCGCAAAGAATCCCTCTGCCCCAGTGGGATTTCGTCCTCATCCGCGACGACGGCTCGGGCATTCGCGTCCACCCATCCTGGTCTAGCCCGAAGTTCAACACGTATGAGGTGGAGCCGCACTCGCATCCCGTGCGGGGCCCGAGGGCAGGTCTCGGCAAGAGCGATGGCCACGGAACGTTCACGTTCTGGAAGATGCTGCACGCCCATCCGAATCCTGGGCGGTTCGACGCGAGCAAGGGGGCGCATCTGCAACCGCGGTGGTCCGCGCAGCCTTGACACCGCAGTTGCGGGATTGCGCAGCCATGGAACCGCAGTTGCGGAAACCGATCGCGTGACGCCGCGCTCGTTTGACTCACTATGCGCGCTTTCGGCCGCAGTTGCGGCGCTGCCTTCTAGCGACTTCATACAGCTTGGCCGCAGTTGCGGCGCTCCCACGACTGACCGCTGTAATTAGGTGCTTCGGGCGCGCATCACCTCCGTTGAAGCACTCGTGACGTTAATTAGCGCGGCCGCAGTTGCGGAGACAGGTACTTAAACAGATGGATCCGCAGTTGTTCGTCGTCCTCGTATCCCCTTCCCCGTCGTCCTCGTCGCAGTCTCCTCCCTCCGCCTTTCCTCCTCGTCGCAGTTCCTTCCGTTGGCCGTAGCCCGCCTCCGTTGGCCGAGTCATTTCCCGTCGTCCTCGTCGCTTTCCCCCCCGAGGGCCGCAGTTGCGGACTTTGTTGATTCCTCCTCCTCCGTTTCTTGCCCGTCATCCTCGTCGCAGTCCCCTTGCTCCTTTCACCCTCGTCTGAGCTCTTCGCGCCATCCTCTTCCGTCGCGTCCTCTCCATCCTCCTCTTCGCCTTCCTCGTCCTCATCCCCGCCGTCTCCCTCGTTGCCGTTCCTCTCCCAAGCCGGCCGCAGTTCCCCCGTCGGACGGGGGCCGCGCGCGGCCACGCCATGGACCCAGCTCGCAAAGCCGAGGTCGACAAGCGGTTCGCCGAGCTGAAGCAGCAACTGCGGGAAAGGCTCGGCGCGCAAGGGGCTGCCGCGGATGCCGCAGTCGCGGAGCCGACGGGGGACCGCAGTAGCGGAAGCCCCGAGCGACCGCCGCGCGAGGCCTCCCCGCAGTCGTCTAGCTCCTCGCGGTCGGCCATCGAATATCGGCCGCCGCCGCCGATAAGCGCTGCGAGTGGGAGCTCTGCTGGTGGGAGGCGCGAAGAGGCGCAGTTGCGCAGGGCGCACTTGACCCCCAAGGCAAAATGGGGGCCTCGGGCGCAGACGCCGACGAAGCAGCAGGACCAACCAGCAGTGACGGGAGCCGCCACCGAGACCGCAGTTGCGGGGGTGGCCGGCGAGCCAGGTGCCGCGCGCGGCTCATCTGGGAGCAGCGCGCCCTCGGCCGTGCTGCTCGCAGCCGAGTCCAAACGAGGCGCCCAACCCGAAGACGAGGCCGCCTCCCAGGAGAAAGCCGCCGAGACAACCGCCTCGGCCGATTCGCGGCCGAGGAAAAGGCCGCCTCCCACGGAAGACTCGCCGCTGTCAGAACCGCAGTCGCGGGGTCGCGCGGGGCCTCCGTCGGAACCGCAGTTGCGGGAAGATGCGGGAGCACCGCGGAAGAAGCAGCGGACCAGGTCCCCTCCAGGGATAAACTACTTTGGGGAACGCCCCAAGTGGAACGAAGGATTCCTTCGTACAGCAGACGGCAATCGGGTTCCGTCCACCATCGCTTTGGTGTTCAACGTGGTGGTCATCACGAAGGTGGCAACAAAGGAAGATGTCTTCAGGTGCATCTTGCACCAAACTGCGGCGGTCGTCTTCGTCGTATGGGACCCCGAGCTGTTCCGCACGGGGAACGTCGAAGGCGCTTGCAGCTACGACGTTCGCGTTGGACTCAGGAGTGCCATCGACAACGCTGTCACTATGAAAAACGCCTCCGAGGAGCCTTACTGGACGACGGTTCCCCTGTTCAGAGAGACGGGCCTGGTGCTCGTGCGCCCGCACATCATCGCAGAGACCGCAGTTGCGGGTCATGTTCATGGGGCCACCCACGCCGTCACGATCCTGAGCTTTCGCCTGAAGGGCTCCGAGATGAATCCTGCCGCGGTGATCCGTTTTGCCGTCGTGTCCAGACACGCAGTCACCGAACGTCTCCAACACAAGATCACGCAAACAGAACAACAAGCGTGGCATCCAGGTTTCTTCAAGGACGCGGTTGCTGCCATCCATAAAAATGATGTGCGGTTCTTGTGCGGCCTGTTTGACATCCCGCCTGAGCAGCTCGCAGCATTGGGCCGCAGTTGCGGAGCCAGCTGCACCTGCCCGGTGGGGGTGGTGTTCAGGGCTGGACCCGCCCTGTTCGGAGGCATTGTGAAGGGCACACGCGTCATGCATCCGAATTACGTCCTCCCCATTGGCCCGTGCGACGTGCGCATTGCGGACTACAACATTGATTTTGCAGGGAGGCCGTCGAAGAACGATCCCCAGTGGCTCCCTGATTGGATGCATCGAACAAGCGACTCCATCATCTCTCGGCGCTGGGTTCCAGCGAAGTACATGCCCAAGTGGGAGGATGACCCTGACCGCAGTAGCGGAGTCAGAGAAAAGCTCCACTTGGCAGCGCTGCCCCCAATCGGCAAGGTCATTCAGAAGGAGCTCAACGAGAAGACCTTCAGCACGCACTGGTGCGAGGGCATCCACCAAAACATCGTCTTCGTCGGCCACGGACGCGCAAGTCGGGCGAGCAAGCGGAAGCACGAAGAGGCGCGATCTCCCGCAGTTGCGGACGAGCGGTGAGTGCGGCAAGACCGAGGAGCCGCAGTTGCGGAACAGAGCTCGGTACTACTGGGCGCCTGCTGCCTGCGTAGTGCATCCCAGTGTAGGATAGCCCGCAGTTGCGGTGTTGCGGTTGCGGTGTAGGATAGCCCGCAGTTGCGGGGTTGCGGTTGCGAAGCCGCAGTTGCGGTTGCGTATAATAGGAGAGCACGCGGTTGCGAAGCCGCAGTTTGCAATAAGTGTGCGCGCGCTGGGTCATCATCATCGTCGTCGTCCGTCCTCGTCGTCGTCGCTGCCGTCGTCGTCGTCGCGTCTGTCGTCTGTCGTCAGCAGTCGTCG